TAAAAAATAAATTAAAATAAGGATTATCACAATAAAAACATGTTATTCCAATCATATTATTCCGATGATTTATCATGTTGAAACCAAAGTCTAATCTTGTTAGAAAACATGTAATTCCATGTAAGTGCCAAAGGCATGTAAAATAAGTACGAAATTGTGTGATGATAACTTTAGGATGATACTAGTTATTATTAGAAAATCTTTTTAGAATGGTGATGATGTTATTATTAAAAAATATTTTTGGAATGGTGTAATGATGACTTTAATTTTGTATTTCAGTGGAATTTTGTGACAAAAAAGAAAGAATTGATAGTTTATATGCATGTGCTGGTAAAATGTTGATAATGTATTTCTCATATTTCTTCCAGATATAGCTAAACAATTACAATGTATTTCCCAAGTTGCATCTAAATACTACCCAAATAGTAACAATCCATTTGCAAGTAATGTATTACGCCAGCATTATATTTCATGGACAATATATTCCAGTCATGCAAACGACCCTTAAGGGTTTTTTCTGCCGCGTGAAAGAAAAACGAAAGGAAAGTCTATCATGAAATAATATGAAGAATTGGGGTTCTATACGAAATTTTCGTAAAATTCTTTATATATTTCTCTAAGTTCATGATCATGGTGGTGTAGATAATAGACATACAAAATCTTCTATTATTTTGGCGCGACGACGCCCTGAAATTTCCAATTTGGATTGTCAAGTGAGCTGTAGAGTAGGATAAAACATGCATATAATGGCTAAGCTACATTTCCCAGGCAAGCCATGGAATTTCTCTCCCCAGTATGGACGGTAAATATGTATCACTAGATGGATTAAATGATTTTCATGTCAAATGATTTTCGTATCATTGTCGTTGAAATTAGAATGTGCATGGGCTGTCTATGTAAAGAGTATATTGTATAAATATGTAAAGAGTATATTGTATAAAGTGTAAACTGTATTTGTTTTCTAATGACTGGGTCGGATCTCGAACTTCTGATCAATTCTTTTTACAATTTCTTTTTATGGGGAAACTTGGTTGGAACATTAAGTTATGATCTGGTCTCAAGATCTTCTAAATTTGATTCGTTTTAATGATGGGTCCGATATCGAACTTTAGACATGATTATATATATAAACACTACAAAACGCTTATAAGTGAAGTTTTATAGTACTTCACTTATAGCTTTATCATCGTTCAGAGTTCATCACACGATCACAAATGTCTGATAGTTTTTTAATTTTAATATGTCTTTTACAAATCATAATGATTTGAAATTTTGTAAGTGTGTGCGGCTTAGTTTGTACATGA